TTCTAAGATTCTTACTTCTGATGGTATTGTGCTAACTAATATCAATGATATTGCTTCCAATGGTGTTCAGTATTTTTCCACTGCTTTTAGTAATGATGGGGGTTCTTCGATTCATCTGGATAGTTCTCTTTACCATGGTAATAATGTAATTGACAATGCTTTTCTTACTTGTATTCCTACTATTGTGGAAATCAAAGATATAATTGATAATATGGAAGATGGCAAAGCTGCTGGCCCTGATGGTTTCATGGCTGAGTTCTATAAAAGTGTTTGGAGTATTACTCATGCTGATGTTGTTACGGCTATTCAAGACTTTTTTAGAGGTCTAGATTTGCGAAAATATTTTAAAACCTCTAATATTGTTTTGATACCTAAAGTGCATAATGCTACTACTTGGGATGGTTATCGACCTATTAGCCTGAATACTGTCTTATCCAAAATTATTTCAAAAATTTTGGCGAAGAGATTGCAACCCATTCTAAATAATATTATTTGTCTTAATCAATCTGCTTTCTTAAAGGATAGGAATATTTGTGACAATGCTCTTATTGTTCAAGAGCTTATAATGCACATTGATAAAAAGAGTAGAGGGGGAAATATCATTTTCAAGACGGATATCAAAAAAGCTTTTGATACTATTCGTTGGGACTTCATCATGAATGTTTTCCATGCTATTGGCTTTAATGCAGCCTTTTGTAAGCTCAACTATCAAATTCTCAGTAATAACTACTACTCCCTGCTTATAAATGGTAACAAGTATGGCTTCTTTAAAGCTTATAAAGGCATTAAACAAGAAGATCCTCTCTTTCCTTATCTTTTTACTCTTGCCTTTGACTATTTGTCAAGATGCTTGAATGATTTGTTTACTGATTATCCCAGTTTGAATTTTATTCATAAAGGAAGACTGAGTATCTCCCATTTATGCTTTGCTGATGACTTGATTATTTTTACCAATGCCAATAAGTACTCCATTAAGAAGGTTTGGGCTGAGATTCTGAATTTTCAGAATACGTCAGGTTTTTTTTTTAATACTTCCAAATGCTCCTTTTATTGTTCTAAGAGGATATCTATTTCAAAGAAGCATTGTAATGGCTATGTTATCTTTAACTTATTTGGGTTTTAATTTGGATAAAGGTAAGAATCGTACTGCTCTGTGTATGAAACTATTTGATAAAATCAAACAAAAGATTTTATCTTGGGAAAACAAGTTTCTTTCTTTTGGAGGACGTATTACTTTACTCAAAAGTGTTCTTAATTCTCTCCCTCTCTACTCTTTACAAATTATGAATATTCCTTTGGGTATGATTAAAAAGATTGAAAATCTTTTTAATAAATTTCTCTGGGAAGGTAATGGCAAGTCTAAGATTCGCTAGACTAGCTGGAAGAAGCTTTGTAAACCTGTTGATGAAGGTGGTCTCGGCTTTCGTAGCTTATCTGATTCTATCACAATAAATTACATGAAATTGTGGTATAGATTCAGAAAGAATTGTTCTCTTTGGGCTTCCTTAATGCATGCCAAATATTGTTTTAATAAACATCCTCTGGCTATTACTTATAATAAGAATGATTCCTTTATTTGGCATGAGATGTTAAAGGTAGCAAGGAACACTGAAGATCTTATCTATTGGGATATTGGTAAAGGAGATGTTTCTTTTAGTATGATGATTGGATGTGGAAGGGTGCTTTAGTTGATTTTTATGGTGACCCTGTTGCTATTGATATTAAAGTGCGAGATTTATGGAATGAGAATCGTTGGTGTTTACAAAAGCTTAAACAGATGGTTCATAATGACGATGCTTATTTCATTAATTCGATTCCTATTAACAGTGACGATACTGATATGGCCAAGATTAAAGGAAGAATGGGAGATTCTGTTTCTAAAAGCTTTGCTAATTCATTATTTTCAGGGGTTATTATTTTCAGGGGTTAGACCTTCGATGGAATTGGAATTCATGGGTCAAACCTTCCATGTCTTTCTTTATCTAGAGAGTAATGCATAATCTACTTCCAACTAATGATCTGCTAAAATTAAAAGGTTTGAGACTTCCTTCATGCTGTGCTTTGTGCAAAAATCATGAAGAAACCAATCTTCATATTTTTATGAGCTATCAGTTTACTATGGAAATCTGGAGACAGGTTACTTTAAAATTGCATATGGAGAATTTTGTGATTCACTATAATGTCATTTCTGATATATTCAATGTATAGAAGAATTTTGGTCGCGCCTTTTTCGTAGTCGTTCCTACTGTTATCCTTTGGTTTATTTGGGTTATGAGGAATGATATTAAATATAATAATATGGTTCCTCATATTCACTGTACGGTTAGTATGATTACTAATTACATGATGAAAGGGCTTAAGCTTCTGACCCCTAATAAAAAGCTAACAGGTAGGCTGGCTTTTCTATTGCAGAAGTTATCTATTCCTGTTCCTTTAATCAGTAAGCATGTTTCCATGGTACATTGATGCAAGCCTAGTGCACCTTATATTAAAATCAATATTGATGGCTGTTGGAAGCCTAATTGTGCTAATATTGGAGGTGTGTGTAGGGATTTTTTGGGTTCTATTATATGTTGGTTCTCGGCAAATGTTGTTCATGTTTCCCCACTGGTCACTGAGGCAGATGTTATGGTCTTTGGTCTACTGGTGGAAAAAAAATTTGGTTGGCAATATATTGTCCTCGAAACTAACTCTTTGATTTTATGGAAGTACTGCAGATTTCAGGAAGATCATCATTGAAGTGTTAATATTCAAATGAAGAGCATTGCCTATTTTTAATAAGTCCTCTTGCCTATTTTTGTAATTCTTTTTTTGTGATTAATACATAAGGAGCTGAATAATGCTCTTTTACCAAAAAAAAAAAAATCCTATCTCCTTCTTTAAATTGCAGAAGAGCAAAACCAACTTTATTTTGCCTATACTCTAAAGGAATAAAGTGTTGCAGGATTAAGTACCACAATGGACCACCAACTATCCAATATGACAAATTTAGTCTCAAAAGTTTTGCAGTGCTGCAATTTAATCTTCAGACTATTAAAAATTGATCCCATTTGATCACTCAAGGACTAAACTGAGATAAATTTTCAATAATCAGGGACTAAATCGGCCAAGGGTGAGAAAAGTTGACAATTTTTTCCATATTTCGGTTACAAAAAGCTGCTCTTTTTATAACAATTACTGCATCAAAAAAAAAAAAAAACTACTGTAAACAAACAGAAAAGCAGAACACAAAACGGAAGAAGAGAATAAGAAAAAGGAGAGAACTTTTTCACGAGCAGAAGTAAAGAAACCTGATGCTGATAGCTTTAGAAGAATCAAAGGGAAGAGAATGAAAAAAAAAGAACATAAAGCCAAAGGGAACATTGGGATCAAGTTGCATAAATGATTGTGAGATTGGATGGAGAAGAACAATGAGGTTTGCATCAGAGCCATTTTCAAAACTCACATCAGAGAAAAGAAGAAAGAAACAAGAAAAAGGCTGCTGGACCCAAAATTCATGGCTGCTTGTTCAGGAGAGAAATGACAAAATAAAAAATCAATGGTATGAGGATTATTAAAATTATTTAAAAAAAAAAACTCTTTCCTTTGATTTTTAGAACAGTTATAAATATAATTATAAAATTAAAAATATAATTAATATTAATTTATTACTAATTATGGGGGGAGGGGGGGGCAAGGATCAGATAATAGTGTGAAGGAAAATGAGTAGTCGGAACCTTTGGATTCATAAAATCTCTATGTTAAGAGTATCTTTTGTGGTGATGAGAATTTTACTGAATAAGATAATCATAAATGCCAAATTAGACTTATCCAAATATAGATAGTTAAAACCCTTCAAACATATTCATAAATGATTAAGTACGACTTATGCTTTTGATCCGAACTTTTATTATCAATAAAAAATGGTAAGGAGCATATATATACATATAATTTGTGATGCCGTTAGTCGTGCCCTCTTAGTAGCGCAATCTTGTTGAAAGTCGTAAGTCCCCTCAGGTCATGGGTTCGAATCTCCCTCTGCCAGTTTGTCAGTATTGAGAGAGGTTTTTGAATATTTAGGCACATGAGAGTGGTTGAGGGCTAGTATAATAGCCTCCAGCCATTCTTTTAATATATATATATATATATATATATATAATTTGTGACATATGCAAGCCTGATAATCTCCCCTAAAAGCTAAAAAAAATGCCCAATTTTTCTTAAATATAATATTTTAGCCTATTATTATGAGCATATATGGATGATAGGGCATTGCAACAAAGAGATATCCAAGTAAAAGAGGAAGAAATACAATATTTAAACCTTCTTGACATTTACCATGTAGAACAAAATAAGAGAACTTAGGCAAAAATTAAATGCAAATTCAAATTTTTTGTAATAATTTCCTTCAGCAAAAATTCCATTGCAATCTACAAAAAATATACTAATTATATATTCAAAGTGATCCAAAGAATAGTGTAAGTCGGACATTTCATTATATTTTATATTTTTATTTTATATAAAAGATAAAAATCTATTATCTTTTATTTATTTTAAAAAAATGGGTACAGAATCAATTACAAACCTAGAGAAATCCTTCACATTGTGTCTCTTTGATCTAAATCTCAGAAACTAAAATGCATTGATTTGAATATTTTGCAGTATGTACAGCTAACACATTGATTTAAATATTTTGCAAAAGGAATGAACAGAAAATAAAGATTCACAAAACAAATCATGGAAATTGTTGTAATATGGCTAAAAATGATGATGATCTATAGAAAAAAAAAATTTACATATTTTCTGGATCATTATACCCCTTAACACAGTATAATAACAATGTCATGAACTTGAAATTCTGGCGCAGATTTTATAAGAAAAACACAACTTTTAATACAATATTCACTCCATAAATGCCTGCCCCTTAACACAGTATAATAACAATGTCATGAACTTAAAATTCTGGCGCAGAATTTATAAGAAAAACACAACTTTTAATACAATGTTCACGCCATAAATGCCTGACCTTTAGAAAGTTATGTCATAGAAGCGGAACACGAATGAGAAGCGAAGGATCCGACTGGTTATTGACGAAACTCGCAAGCAATTTTCATCTAATTGTAAGCTTTGGGTCCTCCACCATCGATTTGAAGAGCCATGAGTTTTAATCCGTGTTCTTCAAACTCGCTTTTTTTTATGTTAGCCTATTAACGTTAAGAAAAGTGTGTACGAGTTCAGATAAAGATTTGAATCTATGACTGGTTCATAGAAAAAAACAATCAAATTAAAAAAAAAAATTATGATTGTGAAGTATGGTGATAGCAAAACAGCTTAAGAAAGGTCCACTTATGGCTAAAACTAATTGGTGCTAAGAGATCCCGACTTTATTCCTTTTGTCACCATCTGCACCATGTGGGAGATAAAGACAAATACTTGCTAATGGAATGAGATTAAAGCAAATTAAAAATGCAATTTTATTTGTGCCTCAATTGATAAATGAAATATCAAAATGATGAAGATTTTTTCCTAGCCATAGAGGCATATCCAATTCAAAAAGTTAGTAGAAGATTAATAAGAATAGATGAAAGATGACCTTAAAAAAGGGATAGATAGGTGATGCACAATTGCTAATGAGGGAAATAATGGATAAGTTCAATGGAAAGAAAAACTTTTTGGCCATACAAAAATACAAAAGTCCATATTTTTCTAAAAATTTCAAGGAGTGTCTCTGAAGTGTCCAAATCTTACCTCAAGTTTTTATAGTAAGCTTTGGAGAAATTTTGATAGGTCTAGTCAATTTTTACTATATTTGAATTTTTTAGATTATTAAAACATGTTTCAAATTTTTAGAGTTTTTTGGAGATTTTGTTAGGTCTGGTTAGCTGATCAAACACCCATATCTCTAGATTTGATTTCCTTAAATACTTTAATTAACAAATCATTCTCATACACTTGGATATATGCCCATGCCATGGCATCCACTCTATAATGAGTCCGCAAGTACGTTATGGTTTAATTTATTGGCAAATACATATTATTTTTGTAATTTTTTTTTATCAAAAGATCATTTTTTCAAGATTATTTATATAGAAAATAATATTTAATATATAATTTAAACCCATTTAATCATATTTAATCAATTATAATAATAGGCCTGTTAATATTAAGAAAAGAATTAAAAGGGTTCAATGTCAAATTTAACAAAATAAGCCTTAAATATTGCATTTACTTCATGTAAAACTATTTTATAAATCTCATATATACACCAAAGCAAAATTCTTAGAACACTATATATATATATAGATATATATTGTAGAAGGAATGGCAAGAGATTATTATATGAGCCTCCAACCACCTCTAATGTGTCTAACAATTCGAGTACTACATCCTTAAGGCCAACTATGCCAAAGTGGATTCGAACCTCCGACGTAAGGGTTCTTATACTATGGATGTCAACTAAGAGGGCGAGGTACGTATATATCACTTCATCGACATTTTGATCTACACATGTAGTTCCTAAGAATCTGTTAAAATTCAAACTATGTATGCAATGGTGAATTTTCGTAAACTTGAACACAAAAAATCAATCTCTTTCTTCTTACCCTTTTGACCACTTTGAATGTCTTCAGATGGAGCTCCTACTGTAGGCATGGGGCTTCCATCAACTGTTGCAGCAGTTGTGTGATTCTGATGCATCACTTGTGATCCATAGCCATACATTCCCATCACCTTTATAGCCACAAATTTAGAATATATAAAATGGGCACAGAAGAAAATATGCATTTCACAAACCTGAGTTGGCAGCTCCATGCGAGGAAAGAAGCCAAGACAGTGTGAAAATGGCACAGGAAAACGAATATCCGGTAACTGATTACGAAGGTTGAGCGGATTTAATCCTGGAGAAGAGAACGGATTCGGCGTAGAGATCGACGATATAGATTCATTACTTAGAGTGGATCCTAAGAACTGAACTGGACTTGGAATTGATGGTAATGGAGGATGAACACTAGGGAACATCAATGAATTCATGCCGCTTCCCATCCACATTATCTGAGACCGCAATAAGCGCATAATAAACGCAATAGGGACAATAAAACATTGGTGATTAAATATTGAAGCATGTAGAGGCGGAACCATGTTCACATTATCTGAGACCGCAATAAGCGCATAATAAACCCAATAGGGACAATAAAACATTGGTGATTAAATATCAAGGGTCCCCCCTCCCCTATAATTTGAGATTTTCCATTTAAATAGTAAAATTCAATACTTTTTGCTCATGTAGTTTAAGAATTTTGGTAATTTTTACCGATACTTTAAGAAAATTAAATACTTGATGATTTTGCTCACCCTAAAAAATAAAACTGACTCCGCCCCTAAAGCATGAAGCATTTGTTTTTGATACCTGAACTTGTAACTGGAGCGACTTCAAATACTCAATTGCTTCATCTAGCATTGATGCTTTATCTGTCTAAACAATCATGAAATATTCATAGTATCAAAAGGTCGATATTAGACATGTATCAAATGGTTTGAATGACATTTTATTACCTTATTACAATGAGGAATCAGCTCTTGCAAAGCTCTCATCTTTTCATTAATTCTATCCCTTCTTCTCTACACGAAAGATTTATGTTAAGGAATCAAATTACAGACGATGAAATATCGAATATTTAAGAATTTGTACCCGCTCAGAGAGGTTATGTACTTCAGCGGCACGACTTCTTCGTGAAGGTGCAGTTCTATGAGCTTGTTTATTCTCTAAAATTGGTTCTTGCTCAACATCCTGAACATTTTAACCCCTCAAATTTCTACTATGAAATGAATGAATTAAAGCTTCAAAAAGTAAAGAAAGGAAAAGAGAACACAAAAGACCTCATTTTGGCATTCAGATTCTTCAAAATCTCTTCCCTTCCTCTTGTGGCTCTTGCTTTCCTTTCCTACTCTCCCTAAGCTACAACCAGAACCGCCTGATGAGGAAGCAACCATTGGATCAAATGTGATTGCTTGACTACAATTTTGAACTGATCCCAACTGAGAGCACTCTTTCACTGCTCCATCATTGCTTGAAGTATGGATTGCCTCAACCTGATTTTGATCTTCATTACTTCTACAAATGCTCGATTCCATCGTTCTCATTGACGACAATTCTCCCATTTTCGAGACATCACCATTCTCTAAACTCACAGAATCTTCCGTGGAAACGAAATCCAGTGGTTTCGGAGGAAGCATCATGCTGTGGTTAGGATGAAGGCCGGGTAACCTATAACAAGCATCACAATCTTTTCTAGAACTAAATTTCACGCATTTATCTCCTTTGTTCGACTTTTCATTTACATTAGATTCAGCATTCAACATATTGCAGAAGAATTCTGAGAACTCTTGATCTAGTGGCTCCTCTAAAGGACTCTGCAACCACGAAGCCGTCTCATCTTCTTGAATTGAATTGCTTGAATTCTCGACAGAAACCCCCCATTTTAATGAGGTTTCTGACTTCTGAGCTTGTTTAGATTCAGCAATGGTCACTGCGGGTCGACGAGTGGTTTGGTTGTGCAACACCACTTTCCCATTTTCCCATAAAAGCTCTATTAAGTCGCTCTCTTGTCTGTTATAAGATCAGAAGCAATGAAATTTTGAATAAATTCTTGTTTTTTGTTACAGAATGGTTTGAGCTTCTACATGGATGACATGAGGAACAATGTAATACTAACCCAAAACAGCTCTTTTGATTTGTTGCAGGATGGAGATCATGAAACGGTGTAGAGCCACCCTCCATTTTCCAATCAGGAACACAATGTTTCATCTCTTAACATAGACTTCTGCAGATAGAAAATAGAAAAAAATATATATATATTTATATATTATATTTATAACGGGGCATAAACAAGGAATAAGAAAATATTAATTTAAAAAAACAACAGGGAAGAAAATTTATGACGAATTTTAATTCCAAAGCAACAAAATTTACAGTCTATCAGCAAATATGCAGCAGAGAGATAAATACAAAAAAGAGGTGCAAGAACTTGAAAATATAAAAAAAGAAAATTAAAAAAAAAAACCAAAAATCATTTGAAAAAGATGAACTTCCACACTCCACAGCCTTGAACAAGATCACTGAACTCCAGAAAAGAGAAATTCTCATACAAAAAGAAGCCATCTTCAAAAACAAGAGAAAAGGGGAAAAAAACTATAATATAATATGAAGAAATTTGGGCGACTAAAATGTTAAATTTAATGTTTTGGGTGGTGGTTATGTATGAATCCCTATAAGAAAATACCCAATAAATTGCATTTCAGAACCAAAAAAAAAGAAAAAAAATGGAGAAAAATGGTGGAACTGAGTCCCCAATAATTGTAGAAGAAGAGAGAACTGAGAAAGCTAACCCTTTTCGAGAACTTCAGGCTCTGCACTTGCTGTTGCTGCACAGTTGCCCTCCTTGCTGAAGATGAATAGGAGTCCAACAAAGGGAAGAATCAATCCTCCCTCTCTCTCCCTCTCTTCCTCTCTCCTTCTCTCAGAGGAATCTCGCTGTCACATACACATGAGAGCCCGGGATGAGCATAGTCGAATTTTACAAGGGGGACCATTCATATATATTATATATAGATAAATAAAGTTCAATTTGAGGAATTATGGATATTTTATTTTTAACTATATACAAAATTCATCACTCATAATTCCTTTCTCGTGGTGAAATATAGGGGGTGTAAACGAGCCGAACACGAGCTGAGCCCAGGCTCGCTCATGTATTTCGAACTCAAAAAGTGTGTTCGTGCTCGACTCGTTTGCTTAGCGAGCCGAACACGAGCCACTCATGAACAAAAAGTCGAACAACGAGCCGCTTTGACAGCCCTAGTGAAACATGAGAAATAGAAAGTTATCCAAAATTCATATATTCCTTCTTTAGGATATTTAAAAATTGAATTTATAATCAAGCAAATAAAAAAGTGTAATTTTTTTCAATTAATTTGTGCTCACCCAAACAAGAAGTTGAAATCAAATTGAATTCAGCTCTTATCTTTTTTACTTTTTTTTATTTTATCTTTTTTCAATGATTAAAATGAAAGATATCCAAAATATTGAAAGAAAAGAGGTTAAAATATCTTGGGTTCATTTAATTATGATGATGTTGAACCAATTTAGCACGTAGGGTCATATATTGTTCGTGATTCACATCATTCGGGAGAAACCTTGTTATCAAAGACGAAAAAAATGGATTAGAAGTACCCTCCCCAAAACTTTGATTTTTAGTTTCGCACAATCCAAGAGACCTTCATTCCAAAGTGGGAATAGAAAAAGTTAGATCGTACGACATAAGATCTGTCTATAATGTCCTCATGAGAAGATCTATGCATGGATGTCAAACTGCACTTAAATAGGCATGGATGCACGTCTGTCATGAGTGACCTCCTTTACACCAATAGTTTGCAAACCCCGAGGGGTGGTTATAGAGAGCTTAGTAGGTCACTTCGACGAATGAGCAAATAAGCTCGGTGGTCACTCTAACAAATGAGCTTGACAAGTGATTACAACTAAGAATTTTAAAATAGTTGGGCCTTTCGGGCCTATAAAGTATTTCAACATATGCATTGGCCCGTGGGAGCCACATATGAGTATATCATTAATTTTCTGATATTTTTGGCTTTTCAATTTGTTTCTGTGAGATGTGTGGGTGTGTTATCGTTTTGTTTTTGGACTATACATAGAAGTTCTAAAATTGTTCACTTCTGATCAAATAAGACATCAGGACAATTTATTATCCCGAAGGACAAAAACACTACCTTACAATGGATCCAATTTTAAAGTGATTGTTTCATCACGTCATGGACCTACGAACAAATTTTTCCCCAGTCTGAAAGGGGCATGGTTTATTTTAAGTATGGACCTAGTATCCTTACAAGGGTAAGCTTTCGTAGTTAGTCATCCTGAGAGTCGTAAACCCTTGAAAAAATCTTGATCAACTCCTATGTATTTACATATCTAACACCCAAAAATCAAACTTTACATACATGCCCTCTTCACCTTTGTATGAAAAAGTGTACATCACATTTTGGAAGTTAAAATGGTGCCATTTTTTATGAAAATTTGAATAATTGGGTGGTATAAATGTAAAAGTAATGAGTAGGTGTTAGATATATAGGAATTGGGTGCCATGAAAGTAAAGGGCCCCGCTTAAAAATCACTCTGCTGGAGCGGAGGAGAACAAGTTCTTTTTAACTGAGACAATTGAAACACCTCTTTTCCCCCCAATTAGCATTAACAATGCTATTAAACAAACTACAATTAGTAAAGCTTGAATGAGACAATTGAAGTTTGTTAGGCATGATGCATATACAGATGATGGAGCGGAGAAGAGCTCGTAAGCAGAGTGGAGTGCAGCGAGCTTGAATGAGACAATTGAAGTTTGTTAGGCATGACGCATATACAGATGCTGGAGCGGAGAGCAAGCGAAGAAGAGCTCGCGAGCGGAGTGGAGCACAGCAGAAGCATCTGTCCAAATGGAACAGTTTCGTTAAGTGGGTTGGGGGTATAGAGGCAACGCCTCCGCAATACGGTACAATGACTTTTTTGTAATTTTATTGAGGGTTATATTTATATATAATATTGGTAACCTATGGAAACAAAAAAACTTTGACTTTTGGAATAGAAACCGCGGTTCTGCTCCCCGATGAC